TATCTATCTATCTATCTATCTATCTATCTATCTATCTCTGTCTATTTTAAAGTAAGTTTTTAACACAAGATGCGTTAAAAACGGGTGCGTGCAAGAAAACCTGTCCGGAGTTTTACCTTATCAACCCATACACGTTCAGTGACTGCTAGCTGCATTGCACGCGGGGCTGTAATGTTGGCTCATCATTAAAAGTATATGAATGGCGGCAATACCGGCGTATTTATGCAGAATAGTGCAAGCAGCACTACACACCCACACGAAAACAGCAGCGCAACCGGTGTTTATCATAGCAAAGGCAATATATCAGATGAATTCCGTGAGCGGAGGACAGGAGCGCCGGAGTTTATGCGGTTAGAAGAAATCTCTAGCATTAATTCTGGAAAAACTGAGATAATTTGACATTCGTCGTAGGAGATGTCACACTGCAGGACTGTGCGCCAAAACTTCTGACACTGCCAGAAGTTCGTCGGAGGTAAAATTTGATCGCAATGGCCATTAATCGGCTGTCGGTGAACATGTCAAACTAACGATCAAAGACTACAGATTTTAGCCTAGGATTATAGGAATCTTTTAGGATTTTCAAAATTTGTCTCAGACGACCAAATAGTGGCCAAAATTGCAGTGTGAGCCGGGCTTTAGAAGGAAAAAATTCAAGTGATTGCGCCGGTGCCACATGGGCGCCGGGCACAGCTTTGCTACCTTGATCAAATACATCGCGAATACGGACACATTTGATTTTGTGTGGAATGAGAGACCCAACATTGGTTTCAGTTTTGTTTTAACCTAAATTAATTCATTTTGGCTTGTCATTTATATTGCTATAGCTTCTTATATTTTTAATTCTTTAATTCTTTTCTAAATACTGTTAATTGAAAGGATTTGTTGTGGAGTGAGGGGAACTAACACTAGCTATGTTTACAGCGTTTATTATGATGTTTGTAAACATTTCGCGTCTGCATTAGGTCTATTTCTGAATGAAATAATAAAATGCGACTTATACGCGACTTGGTTTTTTTCCCCCCTAAAAAACAAATTTTTTATACGCATAGTGTATTTTAACCATGCAGCAAACCGTTTTAAATATTTTTATAAATTACTGAAAAAAATAAATAATTAAATGGACTTTTTAAACCATTTAACTGATTGTATTAATCGGTCAAAATTCTTACAGTCGGTTAACCGGTTAAAATGAACATCCCTAATATCTACACTACCAATACAGCAGGGGCGTGTCTATAGCATTTTAAATGGGGGAGCCAGTCGGGGGCACTGGCTCAAAAGAGGGTGGCCGGGGGAGGGGGGTTGTGTTTGCGGAACGATGTATGTTAAAAGCACACGTCCAGTTTTGTGTGAGTGAAGGAAATCCACTTGGGAGTGGAGAGATTCGTCCTCGCACACATGGATCGCGTAACATTATGCGCTCTCGACATTGTCATTAAGATCACACTATAGAAACTGCCTAAAATTACAAATTTACTAAAAACAAGCCTATGGCAAGACATCTGGTAGGGGGGGGCACCTGGGGTGGCCAGCCAAATTTCAGGGGGGGCCGGTGCCACCCCTGGCCACCACGTAGACACACCCCTGCAATACAGGTACAGTACAAGTAATGGACACACCCACTCATTCTTTATTATGACTATTTCCAGCAGTTTACTTCATTAACTATTTTACAAGAACAATACATTTAAAAGAAGATTGGTCTGTCTGTCTGTCTGTTTGTCTATCTATCTATCTCTGTCTATTTTAAAGTAAGTTTTTAACTTTGCTTTCTTCCATGTTACTGTTTCAGAATATTAATTCTATTACAAATTAATTTATTTTCAAGTACAGTTTGAAGTTGAACACTAAGGCACAGATAAATGTAAATACATTTAAAGGTAAAGGTAAATACATTTTAGGATCATCTCATCTATGTTAAAGATGAATTTACACACACACTCACTCACACACACTCACTCACTCACACACAGGGTTTCCATGGTTAATGGGGAAATTCCATATGTAATGATTTTATACTGTACAAACTGTATTTTCTATCCCCTTACCCTACCCCTAAACCTACCCTCACACAAAACTTTCAGCAGATTTTCAAAAAACTTCATTCTGTATGATTGATAAGCTGTTTTCCTCATGGAGACCAAAAAATGTCAGCACAAGGACAATAATTTTGGATATTGCCATCTTTGTAGGGTATACCTGAACACACACACACAAAAAATGTCAAGGATGCTCACTGTGTCAGTGTGCTGAGCTCAGCCTCCAGGTTGTGTAGAGTATCCGCGAGAGCCTGTTTTTGCTGGTGGTACTGTGTGACCTGCTGAAGCTGTGTCTTTTTGTACTCCACCATAGTTGAGGTATCCATCAGTACTGTGTTCCATCTGCCCTCTATGATCTGCTCAGGCTTTGTAGAGCGTCCTGCACTAGATTCACTTTGAGGCAGTCTAGCCACCTGCTCCAAGACATACTGCCGGCAGATCTATGACACACAGATAGACATGTCATAACATTTACTGTCATTTTAAATGGTTATAGTTAGAAAGTTTCACTCGGGTGCATGATACATGAATGTACTGTATATAAATTTCAGAAGGTTTTAGTATTTGGTTTGTCCCTTCTGCTAAAGGAGCAGTCAAGCTGCATAAACCCCAGATATTTATGTAAAACCTAATAATGTTTCACCAGCATGATTTATCTAAGGATCATCTTGAGCTCCAATGGAAGCAAGAACATCTCACCTTTTAAACAAAGGAGTTGACATCATCAGTTACAAATCTGATTACATTTGACCTGGAAATCTGAATAAGTTCTGCTTCATTTTAAGTAATTTTTGCTTGGTTGGAACAGCAGCTACGCTAATTGTGTCTCTATTTGCTTTTCTGTTTCTGACACGGGGTTGGCATCCTGAGGTAACTAGGAATTACAGAAGCTTCAGTCTGGATCCAACCCTTACGAAGATCTGAGATGACGAACACCTGAGAAGAGATGATGCCAACCCCTCAGAGGACCTCAGATGATGCCAACCCTCAAACAACATACAAAACGACCAAATTTTGCTAGAAGTTTAATCACAACACATAATCATTGCAGTTAATAGTGTTCACCGTCTGTTTGATTACATTACAAATTAATTTATTTTCAAGTACAGTTTGAAGTTGAACACTAAGGCACAGATAAATGTAAATACATTTAAAGGTAAAGGTAAATACATTTTAGGATCATCTCATCTATGTTAAAGATGAATTTACACACACACTCACTCACACACACTCACTCACTCACACACAGGGTTTCCATGGTTAATGGGGAAATTCCATATGTAATGATTTTATACTGTACAAACTGTATTTTCTATCCCCTTACCCTACCCCTAAACCTACCCTCACACAAAACTTTCAGCAGATTTTCAAAAAACTTCATTCTGTATGATTGATAAGCTGTTTTCCTCATGGAGACCAAAAAATGTCAGCACAAGGACAATAATTTTGGATATTGCCATCTTTGTAGGGTATACCTGAACACACACACACAAAAAATGTCAAGGATGCTCACTGTGTCAGTGTGCTGAGCTCAGCCTCCAGGTTGTGTAGAGTATCCGCGAGAGCCTGTTTTTGCTGGTGGTACTGTGTGACCTGCTGAAGCTGTGTCTTTTTGTACTCCACCATAGTTGAGGTATCCATCAGTACTGTGTTCCATCTGCCCTCTATGATCTGCTCAGGCTTTGTAGAGCGTCCTGCACTAGATTCACTTTGAGGCAGTCTAGCCACCTGCTCCAAGACATACTGCCGGCAGATCTATGACACACAGATAGACATGTCATAACATTTACTGTCATTTTAAATGGTTATAGTTAGAAAGTTTCACTCGGGTGCATGATACATGAATGTACTGTATATAAATTTCAGAAGGTTTTAGTATTTGGTTTGTCCCTTCTGCTAAAGGAGCAGTCAAGCTGCATAAACCCCAGATATTTATGTAAAACCTAATAATGTTTCACCAGCATGATTTATCTAAGGATCATCTTGAGCTCCAATGGAAGCAAGAACATCTCACCTTTTAAACAAAGGAGTTGACATCATCAGTTACAAATCTGATTACATTTGACCTGGAAATCTGAATAAGTTCTGCTTCATTTTAAGTAATTTTTGCTTGGTTGGAACAGCAGCTACGCTAATTGTGTCTCTATTTGCTTTTCTGTTTCTGACACGGGGTTGGCATCCTGAGGTAACTAGGAATTACAGAAGCTTCAGTCTGGATCCAACCCTTACGAAGATCTGAGATGACGAACACCTGAGAAGAGATGATGCCAACCCCTCAGAGGACCTCAGATGATGCCAACCCTCAAACAACATACAAAACGACCAAATTTTGCTAGAAGTTTAATCACAACACATAATCATTGCAGTTAATAGTGTTCACCGTCTGTTTGATTACATGTCATTAACTACATGAATTTTACTGTACATTTCTGCCATATGGACATCAACTTGACATAGTCTCCACTGATAAGCTACTACTAAATATAATGTAGAAACTTTAAAATAGAAACTTACATTTTCTGTAAAGCTGCTTTGCAAGATTTGTATCGTGAAAAGCGCTATACAAATAAACTTGAATTGAATTAGTCATATGTTTTGTAATCAGACATCTCCTGAAGCTAATGAGGGGTTGTTCCGGCTCTTATCGAAAACGGTAGATTAGATCTTCATGACTAGTACTCACATCTTTTACTGTCAGCAGCTGTTCACAGCTGAAGGTTTTGGAGAAAGTGCAATGAGGTAATGTACTGTACCTCAGCTTCTTCCAGCTGATGAGTCATATGTGCAATGCTGAGTTGGGCCGGTCGGTACCGACATCTGAACACCCACAGGACAGTCCATGCCAGACTGCTCTCAGACTCTAAGAGCAATGAATTCTGAAACAAGGAATCTTTCCTTGGTCTAGATTCCTGCAAAAAAATTAAAGTATTAAAATTTGTATAAAAATAATTTTTAATAATACGGGTAGTTTAAAAAAAATGAAAAACTAAAGTGAAAAAAATGTAAAACAGATAGGACTAAAATGGTACAGTTAAAAGCAGCACATATCACAGGAAATTCCTCCTTCCTGTGCAATTTCCTCCTAGAAAACTTGAGGGAATATATGGTCTTCAAGTCAAAAACTAACTAAAAATGAGTTGATTAACAGATAACAGTTATATTTGAGAGGAAAAGTTAATTTTGGTTTGAGCTGAAGCCTTTTTTTCTGTCAAAAGCCCAAATGTTAAGTTCACCGAATCTGCTTGAGTTCTTCTAGATGTTCCTTGAACAATTCAGAATAAAATCATAATGTGTTTACATACAGGTACATACCTCAGAACCGTGACTGGTCATCAGTAGTGGCTGAACATTAGTGATGGTGTTCAGTAAAACGGCCCACACATGTGTCCCAGTAGGCTGCTCCACATGCCTCGTTTTATCCTCACCGTCTGGTACTGATCCTCTGTTTTGGGGCGTTTTGTTCCCGGCAGATGGATGTGAATTGACTCTGTGCATTTCTTCATACTACAATAAAGCAAAAGTGTCATAGTTTATATTCCAATGAAAAATTTCACCACAACATTGCTTGCACCTGCTTTCAGAGCTCGTTTAAAAGAGAAACAGCTCTGCTGTTGACTCGTTAAGGCACGGTTTCGGAAGAACAAGGAATGCTGCTTTGGAAGAACAAGGAATTCTTCTGAGGGAAGAATTGAGTCTTCCCTCTAAAAGGCGTGGTGTGCCTTCAGGCCTAAAACAAACTCAGGAGGCGGTACTGCAGGAAGTAATGCTAACAAAATGTAGTTGGTATAACGAAGCCTAATGAAGTACTTGCTCACAGAAACAATACCTGTTACCAAAGCAAATGGATAAGTGCCAAACTACAACCATGATAAAGGCTAGAGGGTGATATCTATTAGAATGCCAACACATGGAATGATCCGTGAGTGATGCCTATGGAAAATAATAAAATCAAATCAAATCATGCATTCATTAAATAATATTTTGGTGTAAAATTACTGTTCAACTGCACTGGCAAAAAGAGCAAGGAAACAAATTGTGAATCAATTGTTGAACTAACTGCTTTGAGTGCACATAAAAATGGTCAATGCCAGTCTTTCGCACAGCTTGGAATAATTAGGACACATTCATATGATGAAAGTTCTTTCAGATCATTTTTTGAAACCATGGGCATCTTAAATATCCCAAAAGAAGAAAATTACTTTAATTGTCTCAGCGCAAATTATACAGCTTTTAAAATCATTTCAATGACCATTTCAATGATTTTCATTCACTGATATACTTTAACAAAAGCCACAAGGCACAAGGTTGTAGCACTTTAATTCATAAATGTGATCTAACAAAGGTAAAGGGCAAATTTTGACCTTACATGCTGTTTATATTACTTGTAATTGGGATGAAGTAAACATCTGTTGAGTATTTTTACATATAATTTTTTATTTTGTTGAATTAAAAACCCAGAACTGCAGGTCCACCAGACCCACGAACACTGGCTGAGTAACAAAAATATGAACACCACACAAGGGTTAATTCAGGTATGGAACATGACCACCATGGTGTTTGAGAGTGATGTCAAATGAGACTTGTGCAATAGATTGCCTGTATTTCTTTTTTTATTTCTATAAGAAAACAACCATTTTAATCTTACCTGCAAAGGGAAACTGCCATCTGAATCCTCTGTCCTCCGAGCTTCAGCATGGCTGGGTTGTGACTCTGATAGGACTGCGGTAGGAATTTGCGTTATATAGTCAGCTGTCACAACAGATGAAGAATCTGTTGCCGTTAATTCGGAGTCCTCTGTATGTGTTGACTGCACAGACCCCTCTGCTGCTAAAACCACACTATCTGTGGTACTAATATGGGCACCTCCGGCAAGTGAGATGCTAACATTTTCAAAATGTCCATCCTCTGTCTCCATTTGATTCAAGGTCTCTTTCTGCACAGTGTCCACTGTTAGTTTGTCTTGTGTGCTCAGTGGCTTTGCAGTGTTTGGCTGACTAAAGTCCGAAGACACAGTCAGTGAAGTATCTGTGGTGTCGGGCAACCTGACCTCAGAAGTTTGAAGGCTTTCTGAGTCAGTTGTGTTCTTCTGTTGAGATTTACATGCGTTCCGCTTTTTATTACTGACATTGTTTGCTTTTTCTACACCAGCTGGTTTTCTGTTCTTGTTCCTGCCTTTAGCAACTTTTGGAGGCTTTTGAAGGGGTTTTGCTTCATTTGAAGCCTCTTCAATGGTGTTTTTGTCATCCTCATCATGACTCTCCAACACTGGGACATCCTGCTGGTGAACTACAGACCCTGACTCATTGCCTTCTCCAGTGTGGACATCCATTTGACTTGATGTTTCTGCATCAGTGACTTCATGTTGCTTCTCTTTTTCATCTTTTTGAACATCAATCTCCATGACCTCAGAGGTTTGGGCTTGGATAATCTTAGCTGCCTTCTGTCTTGGCTGCATTTCAGAGCTACTTGATTTCACATTGGACTCTTCTGATAAATCTAGCTCAGCCATTTGGCCTTCAGGTTTCTCAGTACCAGAGGAGATCCTATGTTGATTTTTTACATCTGAATGGGAGAATTCATCTGTGGTCGAGTCTTCAGGACTTGTACACTGTGTCTCTTGCAGTGATTGATACCTGTCTGATGATAATGCAGGGGTATCAACATCCAGGATGATGGTAAATACTTTCTTAGCAGTTCCAGAGCTTCCTTGATGCTTCTCTGGGTATGAAAGTATTGGGTCAAATGCTTGAGTAGATGAGTCCTTCTCTGGTTTAGGCCTGAAATCAAGGTCTAGATCAGAATGAGTGGGTTCAATATTATCGGTGTGGCTGTTTTCTTTAAACTGCATTTCTGATTTTGAAAGATCAGCACATAAATGTAGAGGTTCATCAGAAGAGCTTATTGCATCATGTTCTTCATCCACAGCTAAATCATCATTTGGTTTGACTTCCAAGAGTTTCAAGCCATCCGCTGATGTCTCTGCGGTCCTATCATGAAAAACTGAAACAGTATCCCATTTAGTTGAAGAAGCTGGGACAGCTTGTGTTAGTGGGTTTTGGTCGGGTTTGGTAAGATCAGAGTCCAGCACTATGGTAAAGACAGGCTTTAATGATTCACAGGATGAGCCATGAGTGGATTTGCTGTCACCTTCTCTTAATGCAGATCCAGTTCCATCCATCTCTTGAGATCCAGACATGAACAGCTGCTTATTTGAGTCGTGGCCTGATGGAAGGTTCCCAAGATCTTCGGTTGCTTGTTGTTCTGAGCAAGGTGATAGATCTTCTGTTTCACTAACTTCCTTTGTGGGCAAGAATTTTACATTCATACGATTTATGTCATCCACTTCACTGTCAGCGGCAACCTGCAATCACAAAAACATAACTATTATGACCCAAAATTGATAAACACCATTCAGCAATATATGTGTGTTTATTCAGCTCCTGGACATTTGTTATATGATTTTTTTTAAATAAAGCTATAACGGATACTGCATACCTAAACATTTATCTGAAACCGTCCCTGTTTTAAATAGTCTAAATCAAGCTCTAAATCGAGTTTTACACTGGAGCAGGTTGCTTAAACTGAGTCAAAAACTGAAATTTATTTGTTGGTATGTCAACGGCTTTGCATAAATTCAATAGTTCCAATTTGATTAATGACTCTTTTGATACCCATATTAAAATGGTCTCAAAAGCTGAATTTTTCCACCTAAGAAATAGCCAGACCTCAATCTTCTCTATCATTGCCTGATGCAGAAAGGATTATCCATGCCTTTATTATGTCAAGGCTTGATTATTACTTTATTTTGGTCTCCCTGATAAGTCTATCAAGAAATTGCAATATATTCAGAATTCAGACGCTCAGGTACTGACTTACACAACTGCTTGTCAGCAAATTTCCCAGATACTTTGAAACTTGCACTCATAACTTCCCATACATGCACGTATTGAATTTAAAATTTTGATTCTAACATTTAAAGCTATTCATGGGACAGCCCCTGCTTATATTTGTAACTTAGTTGTCTCTTATTCTCCGCTTTTCTGGTTTGTGTTTTCTTCAGAAGCCTTCATATAAATTAAAGTCTTTTCAAAGCCGTCTGAGTGTACTTTGTTATTTAGTCGTACTTTATTGTTATTATTTTACGCTGTGTAGTGCTTTGAGTTTCAGAAAAGTGCGATATAAATAAAATGCATTATTATTATTATTATTATTATTATTATTAATCCTTCACCCAAGTAATTCACAAAGGCCTTTTATGCTGTCAGCATGAGCGCAACCCACTGTACCACACTTTCCAACTCTCTAAATAAAAGAATAAGAGAAACCATCAAGCAGAGCAGAATAATGCGGATAATGCAGTCTAAAGATAAGCTTTGACATCAGAAATGCACCTGCTTAAAGTGATGTGCCACAAAGCAAATCATCCAGCATCCAGCATTTTTCTCAGAGAACAGGTAAAAAACAAGTACTTAAAAGCAATGAAGTGCGTCCTTCATTAATGGCCCTAGACAAAGAACAGAGTGGGTACTCCATTTAGCAGGTTTTCACTAGGATAGAGTAATTTGTGCTCATGCCACCGTGGTACACTCAATTGCATTTCTCCTGCCAACACCAAAACCAGACCCAGAAAAAAAAAGCAGTGTACGTCTGTCAAAGAATAATTGCAGACAAGAGATTCCTCTCCAAACACAAATTCTGTCATTGTTTACTCACCCTCAACTCATTCTAAACCTGTATTGACTTACTTTTTACTGAAAACAAGATGTTTTGAAAAATGTCTCAGTAATTTTTTACATTCAATAAAAGTCACTTAGGCTGGCCGCACACTAGAGGATTTTAAGGCCGATTTTAAGCCCGATTTGCACCCCCGAACGATCGGGGGGTGTGGCCCGATTCACGGCTCGTCGCAAGCAATTTTTTGTCCAAAAAACATTTATCTGCTCCAGATCGAGACGGAGCGTCGCCGAACTCAAATCGTAAATATCAAACATGTCTGATATTTACGACTCTTGATCGGGCTGCCTCTGACGTGATACCCGCGATAGCCAATGAGAGCGAGCAAGTGTCACCTACCGGATGTTGCATGCTTCTGTAGCTGAAACTTGGCAGCCACAAACGTGCCATGAAAGCAGATTTAAGCCCGATTTGCACCCCCGAACGATCGGGGGGTGTGGCCCGATTCGGAGCTTGTCGCAAGCGATTTTTTGTCCAAAAAATCCTCTATTGTGTGGGGTCATTACGATTATTTAACTGCTCCCGATTGAGACGGAGCATCGCCGAACTAAAATCTCTCTTGATCGGGCTGCCTCTGACGTGATACCCGCGATAGCCAATGAGAGCGAGCAAGTGTCACCTACCGGATGTTGCATGCTTCTGTAGCTGAAACTTGGCAGCCACAAACGTGCCATGAAAGCAGAGAACATCACCCATATTCTTTTCTATACTTTGTTTTTCACTGTGCAACAGAACACATGCCAGGAGAGATCTCGTGTCACTGTGAAATGTCCTACATTCATCAAGTATGTGGTCTCGTGGTCTGGTCTAATCATCTAGTGTGCGCATTCAGAGGATTATAAGGCTAAAAATCGTTTGAGCTGTCTTCATGTCTGTGGTCTCCCATGGTTTTAAAATCTTTTAAGATTTGAAAATCGTCTAGTGTGCAGCCAGCTTTACATACATTGCATGGACAAAAAACTGACTGGAGCTCCTCTGTGGACACTCCAGGCTGCTGAGGCTCGATGCACTGAATGGAACATTGAACTGGATCAGAGTTCCCTTCCTGAGTCCTCTCATCTTCCAAGATCTTCCTCAGGGCTGGTGTCTTTCCAAACAATGTTTGAGCTTCTTGAGAGAGAGCAGTCTGACCATCTGGAGTACAGCTTGTCTGCAGGACCTCAGACAATTTCTCAACCTCTAGAAAGTTTCCTTCCACTTGTTCTACAGCCTACCGAGAATCCACCAAGGCAGTTAGTCTCATTACATCAGGCGTCTGGAAAAGGCTAATCAAGGATATCATCTCCACTGCAGTTTAAAGATGGCTTTGAATGTAAAAGATTTGCTTATCTCAAGTTAACTAAAACTTCACCGAATTTAAATCAAATGTAAAAATATTCAATACTTTGACAATTACTAATTTGAAAAGGATGAAAGTATAACCTTGCTGAGGAGTTAGTAACAAATACATTTCTAAAACAAAGCAAAAGTGTAAGTTTAGTGGTACAGTATTTTACATTTGAGCATGTATGATTGTGAGTGAATGGTTTTTGGCTGCATCTTTTACCTTTAATGTATTTGAGTCATTAAAGCTGCCCTCTATCCGACCCTGTGGAGAGTCCAGACTCTCGTGGCTCTGTTGTATTAACATTGCACACTTCAGCTCCTCAGTCATACTCTCACCAAGATCAACACACACATCCTGAACAAAAACATTAACACAATTACACATAAACATGACTGCAGCAGATAAAGATGTCTGTGAACCTTTTATGGAGATACATTACAGCCACAAAATGTTCAGCTATTACTGCAAATTAAACACCTAATACTGTGACCCTGGAGCACAAAATCAGTCTTAAGTCGCTGGGGTGTATTTGTAGCAATAGCCAAAAATACTTTGTATGGGTCAAAATTATTGATTTTTCTTTTATGCCAAAACCAAAAATCATTAGAATATTAAGTAAATATGTTCCATGAAGATATTTTGTAAATTTCCTACTGTAAATATATTAAAACTTTTGATTAGTAATATGCATTGCTAAGAACTTCATTTGGACAACTTTAAAGGCGATTTTCTCAATATTTTGATTTTTTTGCACCCTCGGATTCCAGATTTTCAAATAGTTGTATCTCAGCCAAATATTGTCCTATCCTAACAAACCATATATCAATGGAAAGCTTATTTATTCAGATTTCAGATGATGTATAAATCTCAATTTCGAAAAATTGACCCTTATGACTGGTTTTGTGGTCCAGGGTCACATATTATTTTCTGTAATAAAAAAAAATATTATATTATATTATTTTATAATAGGCAGTGCAAGTAGAAATGATCTGTTCAAAAATAAATTTCCTTTAGTGCGTCAGATGCTTCTTTTACTATATGACGAGCTGAAATAGAATTTATATTGCTGTTAATAGACAGTGCATAACTCTTAGATCTGAAGTAGTTACCAAGAAACAAACTGATTCTAGTTCTCAAAGCTAAAAATGCTCTTATTTCAGTTCAGGTATTTTAAAGATGCACACCCTTTGAGAACAAACAGACCCATGGCAAGAAAAGTACCTGCACTGCTGTGAGTTTCTCCCATCTGTTCACATCCTCAGAAACCTGCAAATCTCCCTTCAGATGCAGTTCACCGGCCCAGCTGCAGGCCTGCTCTTTGAAGTCCTTCAACTCATCCTGTGTCTTGCCTCCTTTTGACTGTTCCTCTGTTTTACCATTAGATTCAGACTGTATCTCTGGCACAGTATCTTCTGTTTTTTCAGTCAAGGGCTTGATGTGCTTAGGGTCTTGGACCATTTGATTTTCAGGTCTGTTTGGGTTCATTGCTTGCTCTCTCTTCTCTGTGGCCAGCTCTCTGGCCATGCAGATGCTTTCTCGAAGGTGAGCTCCATCTTCAGCCAGCGTCTGCAGGTTTTCTAGACCTGCAATGCTTGCCAGAAGACTTATCTGCTGCAGTAATGCATCTGCCTGCTCTGCCTCCGCTTGCAACTGCGCCGATAAGACCTGCCAGCCAAAACGGTTACATTAAAGGATTAGCTCATCAAAAAACATTTTAGGTGAACTGATTGAAGGTTTAAATAGATTTAAAATCAAGTGCAGTATGTGACAGAGGCATTGTGCACATGTAGATCAAAACGGGCCAAAACTGAACTTCACTACACTGCTGCATTGCATTTGAATGTGTTCTCAGCTTAGTCTTAAAGCATAAACATTCACCTGGATTGTTTTGAGGACCAGTGGGCTCTCAGATGTAGTCAGTGCATTTGTGATAGTCTGAATGGAGGACAGGTGATCTGCGATATCAGATGCCACCTTCCCCTTGGCAGCTTCCAGTTGTCTAAAAACATCACTGGTCTCAGAAAAGAGCTCCTTCACCTCTGCCATCTTCTTCCTCAGCTGGCTCTCAATCACCTTTAAAAATAAACTACAGTGAATTTGCTGAAATTTAAAGAGTGGTCAATGTGCTAGCCTGGTTAATACTAATACATGAGGTTTACCTATACCTATATATAGGTTTACCACAGTATATCACATCATTTTTGCATACAAATCTCATTACACATTGTCTAGCATTAATGAAAAAAAAAAATTGCATTGTGAAAAGTTGCTGGTGTGTCTGAAATCACCTGTAGCTCCAGTGGGAACTCGCGACTCTGCAGCAGCTCCTGGATCTCTGAAGATCTGCGATGGAAATGTTCAGTGTTCTCCTCTTGAATCCTGAGCTCATCCTGTGCAAAACAATTATAGTTGAGACATTTATTTGATCAAAAATACAGTAAAATCTGTAATATGTAATTTATTCCTGTGATGGCCAAGCTGAATTTTCAGCAGCCATTACTCTAGTCTTCAGAGTCAAATGATCCTTCAGAAAGAAATATTCTCAATCGTTCTAATATGCTGATTTGTTCAAGAAACATTTCTTATTATCAATGATAAAAACAGCTGTTTTTTGTGGAAACCATAATACATTTTTTTTTTCTGGATTCCTTGATTAAGACAAAGTTCAAAAGAACAGCATTTATTGGAAATATAAATATTTTGTTCCTTATTTTCTTTTGATCAATTTAACGCATCCTTTATTTAAAAGAAAAATCTTACTTAGCCCAAACATTTGAATGGTAATGTAAATATCACTAACAATATCATGTTTCTTTCCATAAATGTTCAGTTGATGACAAGTTACAATGATTTATTTTTCTCATTTAACATCCAAAATATTTAACATTGGTCTCCAATTCTAAAAAAAAAAAGTGTATTTGAAAGTTATACCAAAAAAAGGTTTGTCAGCTGACAAAGGATTCACCTGCATGGCAGACACATCCTGCTCTGTCTGAAAGGGGTGTGACTCAGCAAGTGTCATCAGCTTTTGGGCGCTCCAGCCCTCCACCTCTCCAGCCAACAGTAGGAGTTTTTCCCAAAGTGAAAAGCCAGCTTGAAGGTTGTCCAGATGACAGTCTGCCTTCTCGTTGACCTGAAATCACAGGTTAATGCAAACACTGAACATTATTAGGAAAATAGAGTGAGAGTATTTCTATCACATTACGGCATTACTGAGGGAACATACATCAAGCCAGCGGTCCATGAGGGTGTCAGCCTCACTCTCAAATGGAGCGTCTGCACAATCTGGGATCCTTCTCATCAGAGACTGCAGCTGACGACACACAGCTCTGAACTCCTCCACCCCGTCCCCAAGACCACTGAGATCTGACTTTATACTGGTCACCTGCACACATACACAAAATCATCACATAGTCATGCAGTTATTTATACTCATTCTGACCCCAGTTTTATCTAAGGAATAAACTGTATACATTTTACAAAATATTAGTCTGCAGTTAATACTAAAAATCATCTAAAATGATGCAGTTAATACTGCCATCTGCAGTCCACCAAGAATGGAAGCACTGTACTCAGGATTTTTCAGTATTTCTGTACCTTACTGATCAGGAGCTGCAGGTTGTCTTTGCCCATATAGGAGGCCTGATCACCAATAGTCTGCTCTGCTTTCTGCAAAGTGCTGCCTAAGCGATTTCGGCAGCTCTGGAACTTCTTCAGTAGTTCGCTCAGACAGACACACTGTTCACGACTGAAACAGAAGCATGAAACTTGTGAAATGGCATTTCACAAAGTGCTTTACTATAATCATGTGCATTTCTCATCACCTCTCTGTGACTGCTCTCTGTGCGTTTTCCCATTGCGTCTGCAGCTCGCTGATGGCTGTCTCTGAGGTGCTTGTCTGTGCACAAGTATTTCTCAGATCCTGAATCTCTGAGCGTAGTGCAAACAGTTTGCTCTCCATGTCTGTCAAGAAGCGTAACCTGAGAAAGAGAGAGACACTGGTGAGATTACGACAGAGGCATATCGTCTCCTTTACTGTAATCAATTTAGAGGTATAAAATTCTCAGAAGTCATTCCACATTTTTTAAACTATCTGAAATGGATCAAATATAGGTGTTACTGTGAGAAAGCACTCATGCATCAATCACAACATTTATAAATTTATCTTATTTATATACATGTCTATATATATTGT